CTCACGTCGCCCGAATATCCAGTGAACCGTACGTGCGCAGCGGTTAAGACTTTGTCGCCCCAACTGTTGACGCGACGGCAAGGAACGCACGGCACGGACCCGCACGGGACGGACGGACGCGGACGCAGAACACCCTACGACCGCCGCCACGCGATCATTCAGCGATTCTACAAGCTGCATCTGCTAATTGTCAGAATGAAGGCTAAAATAAAGTGTCAATGACACTGTAGCTCACGCACGAAAAAGAACACAAATGAGTGAGTAAGAAGAAGATCAGTTTAATTGAGCAACCAATGCCGAGTACATTATAGAAACGATTGCATGCTGTATATCGCAACAAATAATTTATAAAACCAAATTATCACAATTTTGACCGTAGCTGGCGGCTATAAGAGATACCGACGTGTCGCACGTCCACGTCTGCAAGACAACGTACCGGCTGTTCTACACAAGCCACTGGCCATCCATAACATCTAATGCGATGAAATGTTTTGCTGCGTCACGTAAAACACGAGTGTTGCGCTGCAAGACAGCAGGTAAACGCAATCGTAGCAAGTCGATCTAACACAATACTTAATAAATTAAAATAAATTTTTAATAATTAAATTTAAAGTATGAAATATTTTTAATAAATTTTTTTGTTAATATTTTTTTTTTTTTTGTTGCTTTTCCACTTCCATCGCTTTGGAAATCTATAAAAAGCTGCAATAAATGACTCTCAGAATGATGGTTACAATCGGGTACGAACACACGACACGAGGCAGTTTAAATGTATGTGAACACATTTGGGACTAACAGGGTTTACTAGAATCCCACCACTCCACCACAGAGTCACCGCAGTAGACGTTAGATGAGCGCTGTCGCTCTGCGGCACTTGTGTTATTAATATTATGTCATATTTTCTCAGTTATATACAGAATAATTGAGAAGGTTTTTAGGTATGCAAAATATATCTGCCGCTAGTGAGTTACGTCATGCACACAACATACCTAATACAATTTGCATGTTACTTATGTCGCCTTTCCTGCAGAAGTAGCATGGATTTATTTTTAGAGCAAAATAGTGGGTTGACTAAAATTTGTGTGTCAAAACCCAAAAATGTGGTGTTAACCCGAAATTTTGACGAAATATATTTACACCTACAGTTCGACCTCGTTTATCCGGCCGTCCCACGTCTGGACCGGCACTTATCCGGATATGCGATTTGGCCAGATATGCGATTTATGCTCGCTCAAAGCATTTCTATGCAGTTCAGTAGTTCGTGCGTTTTGAGCATGTGATAGCATACGAGTGGAATGATGCAATCGCTGTGTGAGCAGCGCTCGATACATGTACAAGCGCATTGCATGTTTATGTGTTCATGTTTTGTGCATGTGATAGCTGTGCGCTGTTACGATAATCAATGTGTACATCGCGCGAGAATCATTGGTACATCGCGAAAGTTTTGAGCGAGTTTTGAGCGAGATTTTTAGGTGGAAATAAATGAAAAACACAGAACATACACTGCGAGGTCGCGGCCGGTTAATAGAGGTTTCCGGATAACTGGTGGCCGGATAAACAAGGCCGAACTGTATGTACTACTACAAATTCAGGAGAGTCGGCCATCGTTTCTTGTTGCCGACAGCTTATATTAGATCTTAAAATCACGTCCGGTGCAGTCTTCATTTTGGGTATAGGTGTGAAGTTATTGTGTAGAAATAGTATACCAAGTTTTAAAATGCATTACGCCATATTTTACTTCACCATGAAAGCCCTGGCACCTCCACAGGAAATTAAGTTTGTTGGAGGATGCTAAGTGGCATGTCCCAGAGAATCTTCCTAGGTGTATTAGGGCAGGTTCAATGTCAAGACACACTGCATCAATAATTGACACTGACCAACAGTAACGCTTGACAAAATTTTAAAAAATTAGAAAATTTGCAAAACGCAAATTTCTAATCACAGCTATAGATGATGTTTTCATCGGCACGTGGCAAAAACATTTTGTAACAAAATTAAGTTGCTCAGCTATATGCAGACTGCAATGGCATCTGTGGAACAGACCATTTTATATGTTCAGGGAAGCTTAATTGGTTTTATACGATCTGAGGTTAATTGTTTAGTTATTATAGCCACAATGTATTTTTCCTTGAATTAATATTTCTGTGTCTGTCTGGTCTCCCTCCATCTACCACTCTACTCAGTCTTCTGTCTATCTGGTCTGTCTCTGTCTACGTCTCTGTGCTGACAGGGAAAAAAACAATTTGTCTGTGTCAAACTTCTCCACCTAAAAAATTTACAATATTTTCCAATCTGAATTAAAATTCTTGGCTGTGATAGGTTTAGCTATTCCCATACACTGTTTTTCTTTATCCATACAATTTAAGCTCCCTCTAGGTACTTTAGCTTATTCTTTGCTTCTCTTTTCTCAAAAGTGGACCATCCATGTCCTCCTCAGGCATTGCCTTTTAGGAAGCGTGATTACGCACCCGCCCGCAGTGCTCCCAAAACGTAACTTAGGAGCGCTGATTTGCTTTCATTTCATTTTATTAACTTTATTCAAAATGAGAATCATTATAGTTGACCTAATTCGTTTACTTCCTAAAGTGAAAAGCAGTCAGGAAAGAAACAAAATTAGTCACAACATAAAATATAGACTAATTTTACACTGTTGTAACAGGCCTTGTGATTAGTTGGGAATAGCCAGTACGCACTTATCAATTCACTCACCAGTGTACGGTGCCAGAACCAGCCAAAAGGCTGTTGATCTTTCATCAGGTTTAGAGACAGTGTTATGGACATCGTTGTTATATTTGTTGTTGTTGTTGTTTGTTATTGTTGTTGATAATTCGGATGATTCCTCTCTAGCTAGTTCATACTTTTTATATTAATGGCAAAAAGTATTAGTGATAATGAGCATCCTTGCCTGGACCCCATTCACCCAGGCCCACCACACTTGGCTCTAAACTATACTATCAGCTCAACTCATTTTCCTCATACACGGCCATTAGTAACCCCATAAATTTTCTCCTGGGTCCTATGCCGCTTCTCTTCAGTTCCTGCAGTAGATTGCCTCTATTTTTTCTATTAATTTGTAAAATATTTTTTGCTGTCTTCTTTTCATGTTTTATACCACTTTATCTGACCTTGGACAAAAGGGCACATCACTTAAATGGCATATCTGTGAAACAATCCTTATGCATATTGTCAAGTGTATGCTGAATAATCTGGACGACCACTACTTAAAGGAATAATAGGTCCATTGATTATGCAATGTTGACGAATGCTAGAGTAACTGGCACCTTGTGTAGTTAATAAGTACATTACCTTATAGCCAAACGCGTATTAGTTTGTCCAATATCACTGCTGGTTACTAAGAAATGTCTAATTGAAATCCGCAGTCCAAAAATCGGTTGTTTACAGTTTCAAACCGCTGCCGGCGAGGCGGGTGTGATACAGATTTATAGTGCACCGGACATTTTCGCACGCATGCTCGGCTGTACGCAATGCTATCATCAGTGATTTCGTAAACATGGACGGCACATAAATGATACGTTGATACATCTATCAACAACCGATTTCAAGTCTTGTTTGTAATGTAACCAGCAGTGATATTGGACAAACTAATACGCGTTTGGCTATAAGGTAATGTACTTATTAACTACACAAGGGGCCAGCTACTCTAGCATTCGTCAACATTGCAAATCAATGGACCTATTTTTTAAAGTTTAATTGGAGAATTTTTGTTGTTCCTAACCTGTCCGAATAAAACTGTGCTCACTGTATTAACATGTTTCTTAATTATTATATAATGGCTTGTTGAAAAGTGTGACTAAGAAAATTCTGTCCAACATGAGTCTCTTACTCAACCGTGTATAACTGAAAAATTTCTTCTTATTAAAAGAAATAGTGTATTTCGTTGAAGAATCATTTAAGAATTTGCTTAAAGATGTCAGTAGTGATTTTGGCCTGGCAAGTTGACACGTGTTTGCCTCTGCTCTGTGTAACATTTGAATAGTGTGCTACAGGAAATAACAGAGTTTTCATAAGTGCAATCACACGTAAAAGCCATGAGCATAATAAATGTTCGGTTTGCTTTTCAGTGTGCAGTCAAGGATTTTGCAAAATGTCTCTGTTCAGATCCAAAGATTGTATTCAAGTAAGCAAATTTACTGTTGTGCTAGATGTTCAAAACTGGCTTCACGATTGGAATATTTGACAGCAATGCAAAGCACATATATAATGTACTTTTGGTGGGTAAACTAAGATATCAAGGCGAGGATGCATTTATTTAGTATATTCTAATGTGTTAAGATCATTATGGTTGTTTTTCTCATATTGCAGATGGAACCTTGCCAGATCATTTACGAATTGCTCTACCAGCCCTCTCTCCTACAATGGAAATGGGTACTATCGTTAACTGGGAAAAGAAGGAAGGTGATCAGCTAAACGAAGGTGACTTGCTATGTGAAATCGAAACAGACAAGGCTACAATGGGATTTGAGACTCCAGAAGAAGGCTATCTGGCCAAGGTCGTGATCCCTGCTGGCACCAAGGATGTACCGCTTGGCAAGGTAGGTCTAACGCTGGCATGTCACATCGTGTCGTTATACAGTCAAATGTGTGCTTTAGTGTAATTTATGCTATTTATGCTACCTTATTTGTTATAATATGAAGTGAAGTATAAAACCCATTTAATTTGCACATATTTTAGCTTTTATGCATCATCGTTGAATCTGAAGAAGACGTGGCAGCTTTTAAGGACTTTGTTGACGACGGTAAGACAGATGCGCCTCCTCCTCAAGCACCACCAGCACCACCAGCAGCAGCAGCACCGCCGATGCCTCCAGCACCCGCTGCACCTGTGCAACCCTTGCCGCCGCAGACACAACCTCCATTTCAACCAGCCCAACAAGTACCAATCACCGTAACAAGTGCCCCAGGAAGAAGAATACTAGCTTCACCTTATGCTAAAACGCTAGCTGCAGAGCGAGGGATTGATCTAGCAGTATGTATTTGTACCAGTATTTGCAGGAAAATCTATTAGGCATGTGTAATATATTTAATTGTTGTTGCTAATCACAAGCTCATTTATTACCTCCGCCAAGGGGTTGGCAGGAGGTTGTTTTCACCGGCGTGTTTATTCGTTTGTGGGTTTGTGGGTTTGTGTACAGCCTAACCGAAAAAGTTATGGACGGATTGTCATAAAATTTTCAGGATAGGTCAGAAATCGCCTAACTTAGAATTGATGAGATTTTGGTGGTGATCCGGATCCAATTAATTAATTAATTAATTAAATTTTTAGGATAAGGTCAGAAATGGGGTAACTTAGAATTGATTACATTTTGGTGGTGATCCGGATCCAATTAATTAATTAACTAATTAATTAATTAATAAAATTCTCAGGATAGGTCAGAAATGGGGTAACTTAGAATTGATTACATTTTGGTGGTGATCTGGATCCAATTAATTATTTAATTAATTAATTGATTAATAAAAAAATTCACTTAATTAATTAATTAATTAATAAAAATTTTCACAGTGAGAGAATTCAGCTGCCTTGACGGAGGTCTGTGCTCTCCGAGTGCTCTAGTTCATTATGGTATCAAAATAGTGTAACTTTGCAGATTCGTGTTCCTTGTCGTCATAACTCATTGGTAAAGTTTAACTTTTATGCAACGATTGGTTATTATTATCTTTCACAGTTTATTGTATGTTGCCTAAATCTTGCAATGACAGAGCCTTGGCCAGAAATCTGGCCGAAACCTGTTATAAGTTTTCATTATCAGGTTGAGTCTAACGTTAAAGCATAACAAACAGTTGTGCCCACATTAATCTTGACCAATTTGGCAAATTCATGGTTTATTGAAGACTGTGTAAAACATTTGCGCCATGCCTTTTGCATTATAGTGTCACATATCTTTACTTGTTATTCTGCAGCAAGTACAAGCAACAATGGAGGACGGTGTCATCAGGGCTTCGGATGTCGAGAGGTTTATGTCAACTGGACCCGCTGCAGTGCCGCCCCCAGCAATGGCTGCACCTGCTATCTCGCAAGTACCGGGGGCAGCATACGTTGATCTGCCACTGACAAGCATGCGTCAGGTATTCGTATGCAGAGTTCTACGATTTCATAGTCGATATCCTGCTTGTAATCCAAGCAGGTGTTATTTATTAAATTGGAAGTGAGTGAAAATTCGATTTAGTCTATATGCATGGGTTACTTTCAGAGTACATAGACAGGCGAACTTGTTTAATCTATTTTCTCTATATTGCCAGGTTATTGCAAAGAGACTACTGGAATCTAAGCAAACAATTCCCCACTACTATTTATCAATTGATGTGGAAATGGATAACATATTTAAGTGAGTGATTGGTTTTGTCTTTTTTTATCCATTCTGACTATTTGAACTATTAAAAAGCCATCAACTATATATATCTTTGTGAACTATATATAGTGCTGCACAGCTATGGGTGCTTGATATACTTTCTGAAAGCATAGTCATATCATAACTTGCATAAAATTGGGGATAGTAAGCCTGAAAATATAGAAATTGATATCAAGTCAAATAGACAAATATGTGTGTTCCTAGTTGCTCATCCAATCATGGTGGTTATGTTCCACTCTGAAACATGAGTTACGTGCGACCCCCCCCCCCCACACACACACATCCTGATTGTTTCAATACAGTTTATATTTTGTCTCGACCATGGACAAAATTACTTTTGTTTTACGAGAGCTCTTTTTCAAGTCTGTGGGAAAAATAGCTCTCGTCAAAAATTTTACGGGAGCTATTTTGAGCCTCATGGGAGTGATTTCGGAGGTTTGAAGAGCTCATCGCTCATCGCGCCCATGTATTTTTTACCCTGGTCTCGACTTGTCTAGACTTTACATTGATCATTGCTCTCTGTGGGAGAGGTGAAGAATAGGCTTGTTTGTATTTACTTTATATTGGACATGAGTTTTTAATTAAAGTGTAAAAAGAAGTAAAAATTGTCTACCTTCTCTAGAAATTTAGAAGTAATATGTTTTCATACTCAAATATGTTTTCATCTATCAAGTACCACCCCTAACTTGTTTAAATGTAACCAACTTGAAACAACCCTATCCTTGGATGTCATTTATAATGAGTGATTTGTTGCAGTTTCTATGTAGACCTGTCTGACAAATATCATTTTTCTAATACAGGTTGCGACAGGAACTCAATGGAATGCTTGAGAAGGAAAATATAAAACTGTCTGTAAATGACTTCATTATTAAGGCTTCTGCGCTTGCATGTAGAAAAGTGCCCCAAGCTAACTCAGCATGGATGGAGTCGTTTGTTAGGCAGTATGTATATGTGAGACTAATAATTATTATATTATTATGCAGTTATTATATTGTAAATGCAAAAGTTGTTATTATTATTTTCATATGTCGAGGATAAGTATACTTATGTAAGCAATATAAGATGTGAATGGAATATTTTTGAATGAAACATGATAATTTTTAGCCTAACTGAAAATATTACAGAATTCTATATATCTTTTTTAATAACATTATTTTTGTTTATTTTAGATATAATAGTGTAGATATAAACGTAGCTGTGAGTACAGAGGGAGGACTCATCACACCTATTGTGTTTAATGCCGATAAGAAGGTTAGTTTCATTGTCCTGTATCAGTAAAGATGATTGCTATATGTTATATAGTTTAAACCACTTGATTTCTCAAATGCCACACATTGCTTCATTATGATTTATTGTCTATTGTACTGGCACCGCATTGGCTGGATACCAAATACTCTAGAGTTCAACATTTTTTAAACCTTGATGTTATATTAATTGCAAATATATTAAATTCAAAGGACTGCATGTATATGTATATACTCTCGTAAACAAGGGACCAACATAGAAATAGCAACCAATAAGTTATTAACAGGAATTAAAGTCTTCTATCTTTCTTCTGAATTGTATTTGGTTGCACGCATACGGCAGACTGACCATAAAATATCGGCATGGGTGCAAATGAAAAGTTTGTTCCATTGACATAACTGGCACAACGCCTTGTGTGCATGGTCCACGTAATAACCTGCTCTGCACGTTGCTCGGTTACAGGGTTTGGTGTCAGTGTGCTCAGAAGTGGCCAGTCTTGCAACAAAAGCACGAGAGGGTAAGCTGCAGCCACAGGAGTTTCAGGGAGGAACTTTCACGATCTCTAACCTCGGCATGTTTGGAATCAAGAATTTCTCAGCTGTCATCAATCCACCACAGGTGAGAGCTTTTTAAATGAGGTCATATCTTTAAGGTATCTACAGACAGTTTAACACTAATTGCTATATAAACTGAGAGAATGGTTGAGGATACCGTATCGTATTTTAACAGTTTTAAATTGAACACAGATATAAAAATGAGTCTTAAGAGGGATTGGAGTTCGTTATTATTTTAGTAGTAACGACCTGTTTTGTTTCATCCTTCGGAAGGCATGCATCCTGGCTGTAGGAGCATCTCAGAAAAGACTCGTCCCAGATGAATCTTGCGAAAATGGGTAGGTGTGAATATATGCAGAAAGCCATTGTTGTAATGTTACGTATACAGTCTAAAGCCGGGCTTATGTCGGCCTTGCGACGCGACGCGATTGCCTTGCGATTGATTTTCTGCAATTTTCTGCAACTAGTTGCAAGTCGCAGCGATGATCTAATCGCAGAGAAAGTTTGACCGGGTTGAAAGGTTGAGAGGGTCTGCGACTGCTTGCGACTGGAAAATTGTCAGTCGCAACGCGATCGCAGCGAGTCGCACATGTTCTACTTTTGCGGTGACGCGCGACTGGTTCCACCGGTCACAAGCATTGCTTTCATGGTTACTACCTGACATAAGCTGCGTTGTGATCGCTGCGACAAGATTCGAATGCATAATGAACAATGCATAAAAGCGAACAATGCGAATGAAACAATCAGTGCATACAGTCATATACACAACATGCACACAGAAACAAGTCATGTAAACTCATTTAGTTGCGGGATCAATAGGCAATCGTCGCTTCGACCTAAGCGCCTTCTGCGACTGCCTGCGACTGGCTGCGAATGGTCGCAGGCAGTCGCTGTCAGTCTCGTTGCAGTCGACCTAAGCACTGCAGTCGCAGTGAATTGCAGTGCGTCGCGTCGCAAGCAATCGCAACCCGACATAAGCCCGGCTTGAAACTCTAAGAAAACAAATGGCTGACTGGTTAACAAACATGCAATATTTACCAATTTATCTACTGTTAGTTTTAGGATCTAGGCATTTGCTGTTAGAAAGCCAAAAGTTTTTTCCAAGTGTAACCATTTTTTCAATAAATTTCTGGGGAGGAATTTTCCCTCCCCCCAGAATTTTTTTGAAAAAAATTGTCAATTTGGTGCTTTCTAAGCTATAATTCGATTATAGTTCAATAAAGTGTAGTTTATTGATCGAAGAACATTGATTTTCATCAGCGAGGCGGCGTTTTGGACAAATTTCTGTGGGGCGGCTAAGAATTTAAGCGAGGCGGCCCGCCTCGCTCGTGTCAATGCAGGGGAAACACTGCACTTCTAATCGAGTTATCGTCTTGTGCTTTTCTCTCCGTAGCCACCGCAGCGCGCTGGTGATGAGTGTGACACTAAGCTGTGATCACAGAGTTGTCGACGGGGCAGTGGGCGCGCAGTGGCTCGCAGAGTTCCGCAAGTATCTAGAGAAACCGGAGACCATGCTGCTTTAACATTATGCCGGGTCTCCTACTGCTGATGCACAACGATGTGCAGGATGAGCTGAACACAGATTGTCTCCTCTATCCCGGTGTGTTCCCAACGAGGTTCATCGCCAAAGAGTATGATTTGGACATGTTCCCTTTCATGGTATGTGTCGATAATAGCTTCGAATTTGGCTTGCTTTTGCTATATGTTGTCACTAGTCTGTAAATATCCAGATAGTTCTGTTATTGGTTTCGGATGAATTCCATTTGTGTAGGCTTGAATAGGGGTTTGCCTTAGGTACATCATTGTAATAACAGACATCGCTTATGTTAACTAGCTTCTTCTATCGTTAGACCGGTGGTGCAGCTTGTTTATAAGGGTTTGTAAACAAAAAGTGTAGACAAGCTTTTTGTATTTTTGGCAGTACTGAAATGGTTTTTGTTATCTAAAAGAATGCTAGGTGATAACTTTGTTTATCGTAAATAAATTGGACTTGAATAGTCGGCTAATAGTGAGAAGACATCCAGAGGAATCTCATCAGATGAAACAAGGTGTTAGCATTCACTCTTGCAACTGTAGATGATCAGTTAATCCAATATAGTCACTACCAACAAAATATACAGATGTATCACACTATCAATTACACTTTATCAATATAGCTGGTGTGGGTATTAGACGCTTTTGTGACATATTTTGTGCATAATTAATTTTATAGGCATGAATTTCACAATATGACAACCTTTGGCTCATAAAAGGCACATAATTACGTGAATAGAGATCCGGATTAGTTGTGGAATCAACATCATCTGTTTTAATTGCTTATCAACAACAAAATAAAAACAAACAACAAATATGGAAAGCATTTGGTGTTGAATATGAGGTGTGCTTGAATTGTTTCCGACTTTAATCCTGTGTGTATTCACTATTAAGATCAAAGAGACTTGCACTTTTCGGAGTATGTTCAGGATCTATAAAAAGATGCTAGTAGATAGCCATATCATCGCAGCTATTTGGATTGTAGAATATATGATGTTAATTGTACTATAGTTAGAGCACTGCTGTTATTACATCTATAGTTTTAAACTAGACCAATAAAAAGAGGTAACCCATCACATAGTTACGTGTTTTCATTATGTTTGCCATTCATGTTACAAAATTATAATGATAAAGGTTAGGAAGTCTAAACTGTCATAGATATGCTTACAGCAGAATCTGCATCACAAAACAGGAATTGTTTCATCACTAAAATGCGAGGAAATGTGAGTATAAATCCACATGCAATTACTCTCACAATATATAGAAGATTTCAACTGTGGTATATATTATTGCACGTGCATGGTTTTCATTTTCTAGATTTATGATATACCCTGCCATAGTGGATATATAATCGTGTGATCAAGTATAGAAAACTTGGCTTATTCTACATTTGTACAGAAATTGCTTGTGGCAGATACAGAAGCAAGATAAATGGTGTTTATTACAAATAATCATTCATAAAATATACCATGAAATTTCCAAATCCGAAAGCATAATAATTCGATTTATTATTGCAAGTTTTACTAGCAATGCAAGTAGGCATCACAGCTATTAAACATGAAACTCATTGACTTGCTTGTCATATCTGGGAAGTGGTTACACAAGAACCATAGGTTCACAGCCATCCAAACTGTCGTGGTTAAGAATAGTTTGAAAAACGCCTGCGCGATTTATTCTCACATGATGTCTATGAAACTGGTGATGTTATTTATACAAAGAAGGATATGGAGTATGTTTCGACAGCTGGGAACCTTAGACCTTTCAAGTCAGTAACTACGAAAATTGCTGTCGATATATATTCAGATATTCAGCACTTTCGGTACACATACAAAAACACCTTAGATAACATCAAGAGCTAATAATACCTAGTATTAGTAATAATAATACCTGGTATTATTAGCTCTTGATAACATACAGGGTCGAACAATGATTATACGTGCTTTGGATACAAGCAGAGTTTCGATTTCACAGCGAACCTATGAAATAGTATTGAAATAGATTGTTATTACAATATTTCTTATTTTTAGAAATGAAACGGCTCACATAAGATAAAATAATGAAAATTACAACTAACAGAAAATAACCAGTATTGTGTCGAATGAAAAGTTGTTCAAGGCTATATATGTGGCTATACATCTTGAGTATTACATTTAAGCCATTGATGACCTTATTCTTAATACGAGTTGAATATCATTTACGTGATGCAACTTTAAATTACCTTATTTGTTAAACAAGCCAATGGTTTGTTGAACAATGATAATTTCTCTATAAATGTTAACATGTAAAACTACGGCAAAATTACAAGCGCAAAACAGCATATCACATAGTAGGTAACACAATCAGGAGTCTATCAAGGACCAATCAGGGGGGGGGGACAATATTGATAGACTCATGACACAGTGTATATGAATGGAATGCATTTGTTATCTGAATTTAGTAGCATGTCAAACGCAAGTAATTCGTCTTAAACACGCTTCTAGTAACGAGAATGAGATTTCCTCTGCAAAACATAACCAGAAAATGGCCAGTTGTTCCGGTTTACGTCTACATTACTGAAAGCAGCAGTTTTCTGCTTTCATGATCTTGTTATATTATCTACAGGGTTATCAAATACAATATACATATATTAGAAAATTATATGGCCAAACCTTCGCCATCTGCAGCTTATGATTGCATATGTAATTTTAGGTAATCTATCTCCATTTAAATAATGCTCTTCACAATGGGCGTGGAACCTTCCACAAATTCACATATAAAACTGTACAGTAAATGAGTATGTAAATAATCATCACACGCTAGAGCTTACTGTATCACAACTTTCTTCATTTGTTACACAATGACCATCGCACACATTTTCTTATCAGGGGCTTGTTTTGCCGATCATTTCTGTGTAAAAACCACACTTCCACTTGCCGCCAAGATACTTGACTGCTGGGAAAGAACAGATTGCGTGGACTGAGCTACCGGTTTAACGAGCTTGCCCTGCTGCGACTGTAGCACCACAAGCTCCTGTGTGTTGGTCGCATTCGCACGCATTTCACCTGCTCCGGTATGCTGCAGCAGCGAGGTTTGTCTAACGACATTTCCATCAGATACCACCAGGTCTCTGCTTAGGTTCAGTACGAGGGGTTTGCCGTCCTGCCCAGCTGTGGAGACTGCTGGTCGCACCGTAGTGGTTCTAGAAGATTCAACGTTCACACTACGGGTGGAAGTAACAGATTGGCCGGGAATGCCAAACGTAATGACGCCATCGACGATTGACGAGTTGCGAATCTGACCTACCCCCCCTGTGGCTGCCCTGGGGACCAGCAGCGGACGCTGGACGGTGGCCGACGCAAAACCAAATCTTGGCACTATGGTTCCTGGTGGCAGGATTATCCTCACTGGTCCCCTCAGTGATACGTTCATGCCAGGTGCCACCACTGCACTTTTGCCTGCTGAGACTGGCTGTTGCACAACTGCAGTGGACTGCATGTCCTTGACAGCAGGCAGGGGGGCAGAATTCTTCATGGTTACTAGCTGACCACTGGGTAACCTCATTCCTTGAATCACCTGCCGTGCACTTTTGGCCGACTGACCCCTGACCTGCACTGTCATTGGTTGCTGAGCTACAGTGCCAATGGATGCCACACGTGGCATGACTACAGCTGTTGTGGTCGAGGGAACAATATTGCTAGCAGTACTTCCTGACGATGGCATTGCAACAGACGAACTAACTATGCTGCCCAGTTGACTAGTTACTACTTGACCACCAGGTAAACTGTAAAACTGTGGCAGACCAAAAGCATGAGAAGCTTTGGTTGGTCTCACCACGCTGACGTGGGAAGGTGAGCTGACATGCATACTAGGTACAATTTTCAAGGGCGACGTAGACATTATTGGCGTGCTGACAGGCTTTGGTGCCAGTGGTACTTGTTTGTTAACATGATAAGATGGTGCTGATACTGGCTGCATGCCATTCGATGCAATATGCACACTATTCGATTTCACAGAACTGTGTTCAAGATGATGTCTAGACAAAGTACCAGCAACTGGTTCTGCTTTAACATTTACTCCGTCGTTTACACCTGCTTCTCCCAGTTCAGCTGCAAACTGTGTGTGAGCATTAACTACCTTCCTACCAAGTTCCCCGATTTCCATCTTTATGTCACTTTCGTGTTTAAATTTTTTATCGTCACCATCACGATTAATACCCCTGGATTGATCTATTATATTCGCCGAAATCGAACGTTTATCTGTAACAGCTATGGTTTGCTCGAGCTTGTACACTTTGGTAGCACCGGGCCCAATTATACAGTTTTGTTTGTGCAGGCCAACAATGTTCACATTCTCCACATCAGATTTGTCAGGATTTTGGGTTTCCCTTACATCTCTATGAAAGGCACTTCTCTTCTCTTTCAATTGTAGACCCTTTCCCACCTTGCTTTGTTCTACTTCAGATTTTAACGGACTGATTCGGGTTGACAAAGTTGGCATTGGCTTTGATTGGAAACTCTTACTTAGGTAAGGTATTTTTTGACTAGCAGGTAATACAGATGTTCTTAGCTGTGCAGATGAAATTAAACCACTCGTATTGAGGGCACTACCCTGCACCAGTGTCTTTGCATTATGAACTGAAGTAGCAGGCACAACACGGACCACATACATTTTGCCGTCAGGTGAAGGCTGAAGCACTGTGACCACGTTAGATTTTGCCTGACCAGTACTGTTCGTATCAGCGCTTGCCTGACTTGTGAATGCTAGTGTTTGTTGTGTGTGACCTGCTTCAATTGGCTTTTGGCATATCTGCTTGAGAGTGGGGGAGGAGACATGCACATCTGGAGCAGCTGCTGCTGCAGTTGTCTCACATGGACGATCTTCAAGCAAGACATCACCGGTTTTCCTGCTGACGGATGTTCTCTGCCCAGCTGGTGAATGCGCACTATTCAGCGATGGCGACATGTGTGACGTGGACGAGGACGCTTGCATTGCGTATCCCAACGTCGTCTTATTCTTCCACGATGTGTTCACAGCATCCGCACAACCCGATGTCGCAATATTTGGACTCTGCCTACAATCTGGATTCACGTCTGCTGCAGCATCCCGTAAAGTATTAGCATACGTTGGTGCACACGTTCTTAGAACATTCACTATACTACCACCCTGCACACCAGCACTCTCCAATGTCTTCATGCCACCTTGTCCGACTTTCGCATCTGCTGTTGCACACCCCATAACAGCTTGGGGAGCAGGCATAGGAGCAGAGGGAACAGTCGAGCTGTCAGAGATGCTTGACACACATCCAACCAAGGTCTGTATAATTGGAGAGGTAACGTTCGGAGCTGCGCGTGCGCCCGGTACCATTGCAGAACTTGCTGTATGAGCAGGTACAGTTTTTCTAACAATACCCACATCCCGACTGTTGCAAATGTACAATTTATCAGCTGCTACAGTGGCAGCACGTGGCCCACGACTGGTAGCAGAATCTACTTGCCCAAAGCATATCTTGTGCAAGGACCCTTTGGGGTTTATGACAGGTGAGGTTTTGACTACAGTTGCCACACTTTGTTTGCTACCATGAGAGATTCCACTCGCTGCGTGAGTACTCTCATATCCAATCACCTTGTTTGCACCAATTGTGGTAGCATTGCCTGCAAGTATCACCCTTGATGATGCTACATTGGCACCTTGAACAATGACACTCCCTGGCATGTTGACGTTACTTGAAACAACTTTAGTCACGGCTGCAACAGGTGACCCTAGCGTTACCTGTGTTAAAGCTTTCTTAATGACACGCGTGCTAGCTCCAGACACTACAGCAGTGGCAGAAAGTGGCGGAAAAGAAGTGTCTGCCTGATTGCACTTAGCAGCAGCATCTTGTAGTATCGGTGAGACTCCTGCCACGACAGTATTCACACTTGAAACAACAGGTAGTGTAGGCTGGTTAGAGATGACAGCTTGCTGGCTAGCAGTATTCACATTGATATTAGCTGGTGGTGACTTGTGCAGCAGCTGTGAGCCAACCTCAGCAAGCACCACTTTGCCACCGATGTACACTGGCACATACACCTTCCCAAGAGGAGGTCTCATTGTTTGCATCACTTGCCTGGAAGGCAACTGCGGTGTAGCAGGGGAGACCAGAGTTGCGGCGACAGGCTTGGATTGTGTCTTAATGTTTTGATACATGGCCAGCGGAACACTGCCGACAACATGCACGTCACTCCTGCCACTGTCTACAGTACGTAGTGATGACAAAGGAATTGACCCAGCTATACCACTGCCATGAACAAGCACCTGTATTGCCTTCTGCTCTTGCGTTTTGCCTGAAGGTGACACTGGTCGTGCGTCAGTGGTTTTTACTGCCAAGTTCGGACGCTGTATTAATGTCCGTACAAGCGATGGCTGCACTTGCACGTTCCTTGCCATTAATGGTACTGTACGCACTGCTGTGGAATCACCCTGTGCAATAACATCGCCTGCTTTCGGGAAGCATACAGCATTTGTTAACTTAGAATTTGTGTTCATGACACCTTTTGCGGTTACACGATCTACACCTTTTCTCTTGACTGTACCAGCATCTTCCTCACCAAGGCTAGTGTGTGCTTGTTTTTTCTTTTTAGATGAGTCATCATTGTCAGCTTCATCCAGCAACAGCTTGCGTTTGCGCACGCGGCCTTGAGTGCTCGTGACCAGTTGGTCGTTGGACATTTTGCCACCACGTTTACCCCGAAGGTGTCTTTTCCGTGTACTATCTGCCACCATTGTGAACTTGTCCAGCTTTAATGTGTGATCGTTGTCAACCTTCGCTTCTCCTTCTACCTCTGTCTTGATCGCGAGATTATTTCCACAAGGATCTGCAGGATTTTTCACCTCTACTTCCTCTGCATTCTCTTCATCATTGCCATTCTCAGTGACAGCAGAGTCGGACACACATCCCTCATTCTCTAGTTCTTCCTCCTCACTCGACCACACACTTTTCTGCAATAGAATCAACACAAGTTATTTATCAGTGCAAAATTTTAGAACATGGGGTGTGCAACCTTTTCTCAATGTAGCCACAGATGTGCTACACAACAATGATTACACAGTTATATCGAACTTTACATTATAACAATCACTCTAGACAGTAGAATAGTGACAGTAAGAACTGGCTAAGCGTAATTACTCTGTGTTAGCAAATGACATAACTTTTTAGGATTTTATGCAACCTTTTCCAGTGCATCTGGCATGTCTGGCAGGTGAGTCAGATATGACAATTATTGTACTAGACATAAACGAAGTAGAACCTGAGCTATGTTTAACCTGCAATCATTCAAAACAGACTAATGGAACAGGAAAAGCTTCAAGCAAAAATTACTGCCCAATATAGGGGGGGTGCTTGGATTGCACAGAACACACAATCACCAGCACGAGTAGATAATAATCGGTCGCGAAGAGATTCGTGTCTGTAGATCTGTAGCTACTACGTACCTCTTCCTCGTGGTGATTAATCTTCATCTGCAACACATCATACTCCTTTCTAAGCTTCGCGCGCGCTCTGCGGGCAGCGTGCGCTAGCTTGCCCTCCCAGGGTCCCAGCTCTGTGAGCATGTTGCACAGTCGCTTATGTAGCTCCACTACACACTGCTGTCTCGGTGGAGGCTGCACTACCTACAAGAAATACAAAATGTGTATAATCATAGAGATGCAAGATATATGGAATCATCGTAAGTAGTTGCTACATAATTTTATCATTTTACATATAACTACCATGTTTTTGTTGCAGTTGTTTGGTCATTACTACAATGAATAATTGCATTAAAACGCATTTTATACTATTATTATGCATATACTATGTTTAAAAACTGAATCCATGTTAAATGCTATTGCTGATAATTTAATGATATTAAACAACGTTGTCTGTAGAAAATGATACCCTTATATTATATCTACGGTTGCAAGTTTCTAACAGAATACAAATTTCAATACCTTTTTTGCACGCCCTTTCTTTACAGTAGTTGGTTGCTTCTCTCGAAATTTCACCTCCAGTTCTCTGAGGTCCTCCATGCTGTCAGCAACCATTACAAACTCAGCCTCCTCAAGGGATGTTGGCGGTTCATACCGTTTCAGACGAGTGTATCTGTGCTTACTCGTGCATATTAGACTTTCCGTACCACATCCCGCTTCAGGCACGCAACAGGCGATGAAGTGTGGCCACATGCAACCGCGTTTCTTGCTGCTCGTTCTTCCAGCATCCGCGCACAGTGCGATGTGCTCGACCATGTCTGCCAGCAGGCTGCGCACTCCCCTCATCATGTCGTGTGACGCATCATCGTTCACTGCCGTAATGTAGTCTGACTTGCAATTTTTCACTACTGCCATCGTGTCGTGTGCCGTGCGACCGTTCACTGCCATCGTGTCGTGCAACGCATTATCATTCAATGTCGTCGCGTCCTGTGACGTGCGGCCGCTCACCGCGATCGTTTTGTGCGACGCGCAATCGTTTATGGCCCTAGTGCCACGTGATACACGATCGTTCACTACTATTGTGTCATGTTTTGCGCGATTGTTTAGCGCTGTCGTGTCATCGCCTTCATGTGACATCGCCTCGCTGCAATGCTTTAACTCACTGCTTAGATCTCGAACAGCTGTTCTCTTGTTAGTGTCAACGCCAACCTTCGTTTCCACGATATTGCAGCCGTTATCTTCGCAATCGCTCATGCTGTTGTCATCGCTCTCATTCTCGCCATCCTTCGACTTCTTAGCACACCGGCGTCTCGTGTACTTTCGCCGCCGCTTACCGAACGGACGCAGCTTCTTGGCCTTAATGCGTCCTGATTTAGTCAGAGTCTGCGACCTGCTGTTTCTGCCGCTCTGGTTTGGACTTTCCTCAGCTATTCTCAACGAGAGCACAGAGGAATGCTCACTTGTACAGCTGACCGAGTCTTCCCTGGCTGACTCGTAGTCTGACGTCACGTCATTACATTGTTCTGCTTGGTACACGACAACTGGCTTGATCTTCTGCAACATTGATGTTAAATGTCTTATATTTTGCTACTTCCACTTCTTAAATGTTATTGCTTAATAAATATTCCAATACTGTTCTTTTTCTATACTATTAAAGCTAAAATACTGATGAAATACCATAACTGTATTGCTATCACTCATAAATTCTTTATTCTGCAATAAAACACAAAGTAATTTACATTCTATTTATTTATATTTATTTCTACAATACGTGATTTCATACTACCACACATGCTGTATATTTATACTGACTGTAAATATACGATACTTGTATGTGCTATACAGTCACTGCATAAATTGCAAGTACTGTGAAGAAGTAGAAATAATAACAAAATTATATTATGTGCACACTTAATCAGTGTTGTAGGCCAGCCTCGAGACCGTTTTCCTTGGTCTCGGTCTCGGTCTTGGCCTCCGAGTGCAATGACTCGGACTCGGACTCAAGGACTCGGGTCGAGGCCGGCTCGAGGCCACTACATACATAGTACACAACTGTACATATTGTAACACGCAGTTTACAAGAATTTAAAACTAAAACTCCTAGGTTTTCTAGATACACGGCCTAATCTTGTAACGTTTTCAATGGCTCGACGATCTGCAGCGGATATCTGCGCGAAGCGCTCAAACGCCACCTAGTGGCGCACTGACTCAACATCGCTGCCTTTTACCCAACGCAAGTATTCCGGTCCTTTCAGGAGAGCAGGGACCCCGGCTTTTCGCTCTCATCGGCAGTTCTGCGCATTGCACGAGGAATCGCACTACCCAGTTAGGTAGAGCCTGGCTAGAAA